GGTTTTTCAGAGTCTTCGTCGCTCATGTCATTGTCACCTGACGACGCCGACTCCGCATCGCCAACAGTCGCTGCTTGCGCTCGCATTTCGTTCAGATTCTTGTCACCTGCAGTGATGATCCGACGCTGGACTTTGGCTACGTCCTCTTCATCTCTAGAGCTGTGTACGAATCGGTGTCGTCTATATTCAGTTGTTCCAACCCGCGACCTCCATTATGCCGTGAAACGAGTCGTACAAGCACATCCACACGCTTCGCATTTTCTCGCCAGGATAATCCTCCCACGCATTCTACAATGGCTTCGAGGAGGTCCCTGCGATTCCCCTTGGCGACAAAGGAGACATCTGATTGGAGAGAGGCGAAGAAAGCCAGGCCATCGACATTCTGATCCTGAGACTGCACTGGTTGCACGACGACTGAAATGTTTCATCTTGCCGTGCGAGCGAAACAAATCCATGTTCTCACGCCGCGTAGATCTGTGGGGCCGCGCACCGCAAGTACGAGCCTGGCCTGTTTCAGGGCAGCGAGTGCCGCGTGACTCCGTGTTCCAGCCACGAGCTACACTTCGTCACTGTGTCAGTTTCGAGCAAGTAAGTGTTAGTTTTTTTTAATATGACTCTTGAGTTTCTGTCGGCAACGTCCTCACATGCAGGGCGTCCGTGGAGAATCTGTTCGATCGGGATCAACCAAACAAACCTCGACATGGACGTGGGTTGTCGATGACAGCCTTTGGCGCCGTTCGTTGAGCAGGTTCTTGCTCAAAAACACTGTTAAAAAAAGTCACGAAGTTTTTGTATACGGAGGAAGTACTATCGATGCGGGGCCGCTTCCAGAACCGCAGCAGTAGTATACCGGTAGGGGGGTGGCCAGGATGTCGGAACTATCTCGGCCGTTACCATGGTTACCGCTTGTTCAGTTGCGGTCTGCTTTCTCGTCCTCTAGCTGTGATCGAGGCCATTGCGGTCATCATGGTCATACTGCCTGTTCTCTGTGTTGACCTTAGCTCTTGGTAATATCGCTATCCATGTATACGCTCAGCTTGGTTGCACCTCGATGCCTCATGTAATAATGACTATGTATTTGGTCGGCGAGCTCCGATTTAGGTTCCGCTCGAGTCAGTTTCGCTGAGCCAGCTTTGCACCGTGTAGCTTTTTTGGTTGTTGTGTTCTTGTGCGTGCGGCATAAGGTTTTTGCGGTACCTTTTGTTTGGCTGCGCTGTAATGCATTGAGAGAGTTTTCTTTAGTAGTACTTAGAACAGAAAGAGTCGGTGCTACTCAGGCTTCAAGAAGAACAACAGTCTTGTGAACAATGATACAGTCTTCTGCACCAGTGTGTGTGCGCGACAGAACATAAACTGGTCCTTCGAGCCTGATCCGAAGAGCGAGATCCGGACCGTAGTGATTCCGTGAACGTGCCAGAGTAGGGCACGATGGCGGAAGAGGCGCCAAGACGGAGCGCCAGACGGAATTTTGGACAAAGGCCGTCCAGATTCCTCTCCGATCAGGAATCTGTTCGGAGCCGACGCAAGGCGAAGACGCCCGCACAGTCGGCCAGCGAGTACGATCACAGCAGCCTAGAGAGCTGCAGGAAGGCCGCGATCATACGGCGAGAACAAGAGATGGAGCTGGAAGCAGCTGAACGGATCGCGGAGTTGAAACGCCAGGAACTGGCCCTTGAGATCGAGCTTGCCAACAAGAGGCTAGCCGTGGAGCGAGCCAGGGCAGCAGAACAACGCGAAAGTTTGACCGGCGCTACTAGTACTGAGTATGAGGAACCGCACGTAGGATTTGCAGTTTCTGCATCTGGCAACGCGGAGATCCATGCTCAGTCGGCGGATGGAGAGCAGTCCTCCTCCGACGAGTACAGTGGCGGTGAGGCGACTGGGCTTGGTGGCAGTTTGCCTGGGGTCCGGAGTCGTAGACCTTTGGCATCGGCACGGATCCGTTCCCCGAACAGCGCCCTGAGCACGGTTCGATCCGACGGAGAGATCCCAGAACGCCCGCCACCAACGAGGAGCAGGGCCAGACAGTACAGGAGCGACGCAGACGCATCAGTCACGGTTTCTGGTGTTTTCAGCACACGCGCTCCTGACTCCAGACTCAGACCAGAGTGCATGCAAGTGACAGGTCAGTGTTGCCGCAGAACACTCAAGTGCAACCTGTGAGTCTGACTGGTACATGGTGTGAGTGCTAGTGGGACAGTCCAGCCCTGTTTGGCAGCTACTAGTAGTACTAGTAGTACTACATGTAGACCCAGGTGCTCGAAGTCCGTACATGGTATCCTAAGTTCGTACGCCCATAATTTCATGTTCTGTGATTGTATTCGACTCAAATATTTTATGGAGGGGACAGTGTGGTGTATTCTCCTCGCGTAGCAATTTTCAGGGATCTACGATAAGCAGAAGTCCCATACCACGCGAGTGGGTTTTCGAGTGTCCATACGAAATACAAATTGGGTTACATTTCATGCAAAAATCAACTTTGCCAAGACCGATTTCGAACGGACACAGCGTCAAACAGACCTTCACTCAATCATCAAGAGCCAGCTTAGAGCTGACAATGGCCAGAGGAGAAGAATTTACAGAGAACCACCAATCCTTGCAGAAAGGTTGACACTCCTGGCATCTCCACCACTGTTTTCCCGCGGTTTTCACAGCGCAGCTGCTTCTTCTCTGAGCCGACTAAAAACAGCTTGCATTTCGGCAACAAACTACGCTTTTGCAAGAAATACTGGTGGAGGCACATGCCAAACATTTCCCTTCGGTGCTTTCGTCGTAACCGAGGGATTTCAAGTTAGCAATTAGCAGAAATACGTGTGTATTTCGAGTCACCTCTGATCAATACGGACTTAGAGTACCCTCTGCGACACCAAAATTTGATATGAAAAATCAGCGAACTCCAGAGAAACAGATCGGATGGAAAGATGGCCTGGTTCAATCGAGCCTGGCCTCAGAACAAACTTGGACAAGATACCTTCCATCCACAAGCAGGATTCTGGCAAGTGATCATTGCTAGTGTGAGTTTCAGCTCGGCAAACACACACTGTAAAAGTGTACGGACTTCGAGCACCTGGGTCTACTAGCCAGAGTGTACATGTAGCAGCAAGCAGTGGTACTAGCCATGTGACAACAGCACATAGCAGTATGAACCAAAGACCAGCCCATAGGCACAGAGCTAGCCTATTGCGCTACAACTCACCTGCTGCCACCAACCAGCCTACTCCCACAGCCACCTCTGCACAGGCCCAGCCCAGGAATGACAGACCAGTGCCAGCACCAAGGGTCAGGAAGAGTGCCAAGCAAACAGCTGACAAGAGTGCATTGAGCCATGCTGCAGCAGAGTTTGTGCCGTTGGCACCTGCACCACAGCAAGTGAATGTGTTACCTGGTGGCGGCATGAACTGGCCGGATGCGTTCTACCAGCTTTGCCTGGGCAGGTCCCTGAAGCCGCTCGACTTGCCGAAGTTTGACGGTCAGAGACTGTCGTACCTAAAGTGGAAACAGCGATTCCTCCACTTGGTCCATGAGAACCCGCTCATGTCTGAGGATTACAAGCTGGCTCACCTTCGGGAGGCATTAGCTGGCGGTTCTGCAGCAGACCTAATTGCAGACGTGCTGGATGGTCCAGGCTGAGGCGCCTACACTGCCATCATGGAGGAGCTGGATCGATGGTTTGGTGGGAAGGACCGCAACCTAGAGCAACAGGAGCGAGAGCTCATGGCATGGCCTCGAATTACAAACGAGAGAGACCTGGCAACAATGAAGCAGTTTGCCGTGAAACTGCGAAACACGTTGCTCAACATGAAAGTGGCCAACATCACTCCAGGCCGTGAGTTGTATTTGTCGATTACGCAGAAGGTGCCAAGGGCAGTGCTGGCGGCATATTTTGACAAGTACGACGATACACGGTGCGACGCTGAGACATTCTCGGAGTTCGTCATGAAACGCGTGCACAAAATGACGCGTGTAGATGAGCGTCTTGCGCCTCAGGAACCAACCAACTCCAGCAAGCTAACAGGCCAATCAGTTCGGCCGCCGGTTCCCCCCAGACGACACATGCCATCAATGCAGCACACTCTGGCGGCAGCAATAGAGCCTTGCGGCCTCTGTGGAGACCCTCACCATCTCGCGAAGTGCCCTGATTTCCAGAGGCTTACAGTCAATAAGCGGTGGGATTTTGTGCGCGGGCACAAAGGTGTGTGCAGCTGTTGTCTCTCCCGTGGTCACTGGTCCAACGAATGCAGGACCAACTGCAGCATATGCAAGCGACGCCACCATCAACTGCTACACTCAGACCGATCGAAGAGGGAGTTTAGCAGAGCTGATCAGGCAAGGTGGTCGCCAGCGGACGCCAACGGTGGTCGACGAGAAACAGCACACACGACCATGACCATTGACACAACTCTAGCGGCTGACAGGAAGTCGGGAGAACAGCAAGGAACAACCACTGCACCATTGTCATTCATGGCTGCACCGGTTCTTTTCAAGTACCGTGACAGATGTGTAAGAGGGACGGCACTCTTAGACCCGGAATCTTCAACCAGCCGTAGTACGTTCGGCAGCACATTGCCTCAGCAGTCGGAGCAGACGGCCCACGCGAGCCACTAACCGCATCGGTCTTGAGTGGTGAGGTAGTGAGCGGAGTGTTTGAACATGTGACTATCTCCGTTGAGGCAGTTGACGGCTCAACGGCATCTGAGTTCCGTGCTTGGGCCATGCCATCGGTGTGCCCTAGTGTCAAACCTGTTGACTGGAGTACAACCAAGCATGCCTGTGAGGACCTCAAGGACATACCATTTCCAGCCGTGTGCAGTGGGCAGATTGACGTGCTGATCGGCCTCAATGCAATCCAGCTTCATACTGTGCTGGAAGAGATTACCACACAGCACCCCAGCCATGTAATTGCCCGGCACACTCCACTAGGCTGGGTATGTCTGAGCCCAGGGAGAGCTGAGTCGAGCCCGGCCAGTTTTTCAGCAGTTGTCACGCCGACCTCAGAAGAGATGAGCCTCGAGGTACTCGTCAGAAATCACCTTGAGATGGAGTCAGCTGGCACGAGGCCACCCAGTTACGACAGCATGCCATCAGCAGACGATAGGCAAGTCGAAGAGCGTACAACTGCCACGGCGCAGTTTGCCAGTGGCAGAGTGGAGCTCGGCGTTCCGTGGATTGAGATGGAGCCTCACGTTTCCTCAAATCGTCCGCAAGCCGCACAGCGACTGCGCAGCCTGGAGCACTCGCTAAGCCGCCGTCCGAGTGTACGGCAACGGTACCATGACGTTATGCAGAGTCATCTCGCCAAGGGATACATCCGCGAAGTACCCAGTGAAGAGGTAGACGGTGACGGCGACAATCAATGGTTTCTCCCCCACTTCCCAGTGGTTCGAGATGACAAAGAGACCACCAAGGTACGGATAGTTTTCGACGCCGCAGCCAAATGGGACGGCCGCTCTATCAATGATGAGATGCACAGTGGCCCGGCACTTCAGACAGACCTCGTCAAGGTCCTGATTCGTTTCTGCTCTGAACCGGTGGCACTCGTAGCTGATATTTCGGAGATGTTCTTGCAAGTGATGCTCAGGAAATCTGACCGCAAGTACCACCGTTTCCTCTGGCGGTTCGACGACGGCCCGGCACACGTCTATGAGTTTCAGCGCGTGGTGTTTGGTATCAAGGCCTCTCCGTACCTGGCAGGCAGGGCGGTCCAAGAAGTGTTGCGTCGGTTCGGCCCTGAGTATCCAGCACACACTATAGAAGCTCTGGAGCGCAGCCGTTACATTGATGATCTGCTTGCGTCGAGGCCCACAGTCGAGGACGCTGTGAAAAGCCGCTTGCACTGTCAGGAGATCCTAGCTCACGGTGGATTCCACTTACGCAAGTGGTTGTCTAATAGCGCAGAGGTCGTGGAAAGCGTTCCGGTAGCAGATCGCGCAGCGTCCACAGTGGTCAACGTCGGCGACCATGTGCACTGCACCCTGCCAACAACGAAGACACTGGGAGTAACCTGGTCAGCAAAGCAGGACACCTTCACCTTCCGCTTCCAGCAACCTCAGCTTTCAAAACTCACTAGACGATCCGTGCTCAGTGGTGTCGCGACAGCTTTCGACCCACGTGGCCAGATTTCGCCATTCATCATCCGAGCGCGCGTCCTACTGCAGGATACGTGGCTTCTCGGCCTGTCTTGGGATGATGAGCTCCCGTCAACAGTAGCCACTAAGTGGAAGGCGTGGTTTGGCGAACTGCCAGCCCTAGCAGCGATAGCAGCGCCGCGCAGCTTCAAGGCATCATCAGCATCATCCGTATCCATCCATACCTTCACGGACGCGTCCAACCGCGCTATTGCAGCCGCCACCTACGTTCGAGCTGAAGATAGCTCGGGTGCGGTGCGAGTGACACTTGCCATGGCCAAGGCCAAGACAGCGCCGACCCGTCGTCAGACCATTCCACAGCTGGAGCTTCGTGGAGCAGTGCTCGGACTGAGGATCAGCAGCGAAGTCGGTGATGCGTTGGATGTGCCAATTTCCGAACACACCTTCTGGACCGACTCGATGAATGTTCTGGGATGGATCCGGTCGCGCAGCCGTCGATTCAAGGTGGACATTGGCAACCGAGTGTCCGAGCTGCAACGTGCCACCAAGCCGTCCCAGTGGCAACATGTTCCCGGAAAACAGAATCCGGCCGACAAGGGTACGCGTGGGCTAGCAGCGGAGGCATTGGCGAGTGATCAAGAATGGTGGCATGGTCCCAAGTTCCTTGCCAAGAGCGCAGACACTTGGCCACAACAACCGCAGCCTGTCCAAACAGTGGACCTCCCTGGAGAGGTTCAACGAGAATCAACGTTCATGGCTGAGAAGGGTTTCACAAGTGCCGCCGTGGTGGAACGACTCCAACCGGAGCAGTATTCAAGATGGCAGCAGTTGGCTCGCATAACAGCGTGGTGCCAACGCTTTATCTGCAACTGCAGACGCCGCGTTGCCACGAAGGGGGAAGGCCATCCCCACGGAGAGAACGGAGAGATCAACGAGGTCATTGCACTGTTGCAGGTGACAACTGCCACATCAGTGCTTGCAGTGCCAGAGTTAGCAGCGTCAGAGCTACAGGCAGCTGAGGACCACTGGGTACTGCAAGCACAGATTGATGTATATGGTTCCACAAGGCATCAGTTAGCAGCCGGCAGGCCAGTGCAAAAGCAAGACCCACTTGCTGCACTAGGACCAGAGCTCGACTCGTCGCGGAAGCAGCTCTTGGTGGTGGGAGGTCGACTGAAAGCATCCAGCCATCTGCCCTATCGGTTGCGTCAGCCAGTCATTCTGCCTGCTAAGCACACTGTCACTAGGTTGATTGTTGAGCAGCAGGACCGAGTCTGCAAGCATGCCGCTGGTCCTCAGCACCTCCTGGCCAAGTTGCGCGAGAGGTTCTGGATAGTCAACGGTCTGTCAGTAACTGTGCACCAAGCTTGTGTTCGATGCCGGCGACAGTGGAGGCCACCAGCATCCCAGATTATGGGTCAGCTACCCGACATCCGTACGGCTGGGTCCCTGCAGGTATTCACTTCATGTGGCATCGACTTTGCGGGCCCATTTCAGACCAAGCAAGGGCGGGGCAGAGCCCAGGCAAAGCGCTACCTATGCCTGTTTACCTGCCTGGAAACGAGAGCCTGCCACCTGGAGTTGGTATACTCTCTGGATACCGATGGTTTTCTCTTGGCTCTGACCCGGTTCACCAAGCGGCGCGGCACGCCCCAGCAGATAGTGACCGACAACGGTACGAATTTCTCAGCAGCAGCCCGTGAGTTGCGAGAGGCAGTTGAGCAGCTTGACCGCCGAGAGATTGCCCGAAGCCTGGCCGGCAACCGAGTGAGATGGCGGTTCAACCCTCCTCGCGCGCCACACTTTGGTGGTGCATTCGAAGTAATGATCAAGGCCGCAAAGAGAGCCCTACACTCGACTCTTGCCAAAGCCGACATCACCGATGAGGAGCTGCACACGGCGTTTGTCATTGCCGAAGAGCTAAGCAACTCCCGCCCGCTGATGCCACTGTCTGCAGACCCCGAGGATCCGGAAGCCCTCACACCACAGCATTTCCTTGCTGGACAATTCAGCCCTCCACTGCCTCTTGAGCTGGCCGCAGATGCAAGGGACCGGGTACACCCCCGAGAGCGCTACGTCTTAGTTCAACAGCTCCTGAAGGAAGTGTGGACACGGTGGCTCACGGAGTTCGTGCCATTGCTCAACGCTCGCAAGAAGTGGCGTCGGGCGCAGAAGAATGTGGAAGTTGGAGACGTCGTACTGTGCATGGAGCCTGACACGCCGCACGGCAAGTGGCCCATGGGCAGAGTGTGCAACACGTTCCCCGGCCCTGATGGCTGCGTCAGAGTAGTTGACGTCTGCCTGCGTGGCAAGACCTACCGCCGATCCATCCACCGGCTCATTCCAATCCTCGATATGGCGGATAATTGAGCAGCCTGGTGACATCGGGCGGTAACGCTATCTCAGCTAAGTATCGCAGTGTGACTCTCGAGCAATGTTTGCAATAGCTATGTGCATGAGTGTGACACTTGTCTTGTTTTGTTTTTCTCTATCTATTTCTCTTAGTTTGTTCGAGACGGTTCTGATCAATACCTGTAGGTTCTAGTTTGCTCGCTTTCATAGCACATTACTGCGGTTATACCTCGTACTCACCATTCGTGAGTGAAGGGGGAGATGTTCAGTTGCGGTCTGCTTTCTCGTCCTCTAGCTGTGATCGAGGCCATTGCGGTCATACTACCTGTTCTCTGTGTTGACCTTAGCTCTTGGTAATATCGCTATCCATGTATACGCTCAGCTTGGTTGCACCTCGATGCCTCATGTAATAATGACTATGTATTTGGTCGGCGAGCTCCGATTTAGGTTCCGCTCGAGTCAGTTTCGCTGAGCCAGCTTTGCACCGTGTAGCTTTTTTGGTTGTTGTGTTCTTGTGCGTGCGGCATAAGGTTTTTGCGGTACCTTTTGTTTGGCTGCGCTGTAATGCATTGAGAGAGTTTTCTTTAGTAGTACTTAGAACAGAAAGAGTCGGTGCTACTCAGGCTTCAAGAAGAACAACAGTCTTGTGAACAATGATACAGTCTTCTGCACCAGTGTGTGTGCGCGACAGAACACCGCTTGTGCTGATATCCGCTTCCCTATTGTGGACTATCACTTAAGGGGAAGTTAAGCCTGAAATGAAAGTTGTAGTCTTCGGGGTGCTGAGTCGAATGGTCTTGGTCCGAGGAAGCTGAGACGCTGCCTTCCTCCTTTATTCCCAATTGAACTCGCGCACCTCCACCGAAACCATGCTGGGTGACTGCCCCCTACTACAGTCCATTCAGAAAAAGATGAGCGCTGGCCCTGGAGAGCTCCCTTGTGTGGTGATTTTGCCAGTGCCGCGAGATTCGAAACTTGAAAAAGGGTCCAAAAAAGGTACCTCAACTGGGGTTTGAACCGCAAATGTACTGTTCTGCAAGTGGAGTGCACGGGTTGGATTTTCATGGCTTTTCCCCAATTCAGTGCTTTGGGGGCAAAACCTGGCTGAAATCCTATTTTGTTATGGCTTGCTTTTTGGAGAAATAGACTTCAAAAACACATTCCATGAGGGATTGCCAAAAACATGTAACAAAAACTCAATATTTGACCAATTTATGGCCAAAAGCTAGGATATCATCCTTTTCTGAATGGACTGTAGATGGGGATTTGTATGCGAAATGTCACTAAAAGCGCAGTTTCGTTCCTATAAAAGCACAGATGACCGCGATTGGCCTATACCGTATACGTGGTAATCTTTTGGATGCTGAGTCGACTGGTTTTGGCCCGAAAAGGCTACGATGCAGCTTTCGGGCTCCCAATCGAACATGGTTGAACAAGCGGTCACGTCACGTGCTCCTGCGTACACCAGTCACCGGTCACTGCGCCAGCAGGCGACAACTTACTTTCACGCCAAGGTTCCACACGAGTTCAACTCTACAAATCCCCATCTACAGTACCGGTAGTACTAGTAGGGCGCTGTCTAGGGTCCAGCGGATAATGCCGGCATTATACGACTATCCGAGCAGTAGACTACGAGTATGGAGAAAGAAACAAAACGAGCATTATTGTGAGGTTTGAGCGGCATAACGAATTTCATAGTGGATATATCAGGAAATCCCAGGTTTTCGGCTACAATCATGATCATGAGATGTTGTCTGATGATTGGTTTTTGCCATGAAGCTCTGAGTAACAACGAAACAGCCCTATTTTACTCCTTTTGTGTACCTCTTGCGTACTACGCTCCGCCCATTCCGGGCATTTGAGCACTATGCATTGTACCGGCGCATGACTGTGATTGTGTAGAAACGTAACACCTTTAGCACTATTAAACGCTACATAACTATTGGGAGCATTGCTACATAAACACGTTATGATTGTAGCGATGTGGTAAGGTAAATGTATACAGGCCATTTGTGAAGCATGCCCAACCGGCAACCGAGGCCGAGGCAGTTCAAGTGACACAAATCCGGAGAAATTATTTACGAGGTTTCTTTTAGAATAATGGAGAGCTATGGTCGTATGGAGGAGACATACGCGAAGTGAATAGTTCAGTTGTGCCAGAGGCTCTGGCGATAGCATCTCTAGCGATACTGAAGTAGACACTGATACATTGCTAAATTTGGACCAGGATGAAGGAGCGGCTATAAACAGAAAGAGCTCGTTCCAAAAGAACCTTTGCCGAGTCCAGCTCAGGAGGCTCGAAAAGAACTAGAATTTCTCATGGACTCAGTACCAAGTCGATTGCTCAGCAGCGCCTGTCTTACTTTCCTGATGAAGCACGTACAGTTAGTTGTGGACGGTTGTAATTCCAAGCCTACAGTCAAATGCTATCAGAAAGGAAGAGTATTGCGGCAAGCCATACGTCTACACACCATCTCAAGCCGAAGGAGAAGATGAGAGCACAAGTAAAGGATGTAGATTGGCAAAATAACTTCTGACCACGTGTTTTCAGGATTTCCACAAAAGGGTCCTCCATCTGAGATCGGATCTCAGGAGCTGGCCTCACGTCTGGTGTTTCAGAAGAAGACATTATTCACAGAGTGGATGCAATGATAGCTTGTCTGCAGGCAGGAATACTATTTGCCAAGATTAACTTCATCCCAACAATGAATGACTACCTGCAATAATGGTTTCATCTCTCACTACATGGATAATTAGGAGAGGGATTTGATAAACCGACTATTCTGCCACAACCCTGCATCATAGTGGAAATGGAGAGCAATCAATGGAGAAGCGATCATGTCTTATAGTGCTAAGAAGTAGTGGAGCTCGTCAGAGATAAGGTGGCAACTTCAAATGCAGATCGATGATATGCATCATTTCCTGGAAGTTTGACAATGTGCAGACTTTCTTCCATTTTTGTTCCAAACCAAGAGCATTATATCCCTTGCTGAGGCATTATAATCAGCATTATAAGGCAGTTTTTGGAGCATTATGGCTAGCATTATACGAACATTTTCGGAGTATTATCCGCTGGACCCTAATCATCGATCTGTAAAACAGGATCTTTGACGCCAGGGTGAGGCTTTGGCGGCTCCGCGCCTGATTATTATTTCAACCCGCGAAACTTCCAACATTTTGGAATTTCCATTTCAACGCGTTTCCATACGTATAGTGCCCCAAAAGCCAGCAAAAATACGCACAAACGCGTGGTTCCACGCGTACACGCACCAGTTGTGAACACAGCTGTTCGTTGTGGCCCATATCAAGAGTACATAACCCCCAGAGTGAGCAACGCCTGATCCAGCTCTGCATGGGGTCCTGGTCGAGCGTAATCGGATCATTGCGCACACATTGAGGGGAACCCGGGGACTCTCGGATAAAAATAGCGGTGCCCTGCTTCGAGACCGGCCTTGCGCTGGTGTGGAGTGAACGTATGACAGAAGATCCAGCTACTATACTACTAGTAAGTAGTAATACTTACTACGCTTGACCAAGAGTCTAAGACCCTATGCAGAGCTGGATCAGGCGTTGCATACTCTGGGGTGGGGGTATGTACTCTTGCCATATGTGTAATGATACAAAATAAGAAAAAATAATAATAATAATAATAATAATACTGTGAGAGCTGTGCTTTACACACGTGACACCTCCTACTTGACACTTTACGCAATCATCATCAAACTTCACACTGTACACATAGCACCTGTATTGCTGACCTGGTATACTATTTATTGGGCTTCTGGTTGTTGGGGAAGAATTTAGTTATCCTGGACAATAAAACCGTCTCACTGGTGGCAGCGGCTAGATTCAACGCAAGGAAGAGTATGGCAGCGAAATTCAAGCACGAAATTGGAGCTTCCACAACGCTGAGGGAGTGGAGAGTGTTCGTCTCTGCATACGGGAATACAAAGGCTCTCAACGACAAGCTGAAGGACGTGTCTGGAGAGGCCAAACTATGGGCGGAGGATAAGGAGTTCCGGGCTCGCATGATTATGCAACAGCTCCGGGGGGAACCGCTACTGTGGCTTAGCCAGGACGAGAACAAAGATGCCCTTAAGGGTGATGAGGAAGCCATAAAGCTGCTGGAGACACGGTATGGCCACACTAGGGCCAGGGTGGCCTACATTAACGATTTTTGAAGAATCGTTCCAGGAAGGGAGAGAAACGACTCCGGCTTTCCTCAGTCTTCTACAACAGCTGGTTGGCACGGCATTCCCGAACCTCTCGGACGAGGCTCAGCGGTAGAGAGTACTATCAAAGTTCGTGCACAGTGTGCGGAACCAATGGCTAAAGGAGGAACTACAGGTGTTCGGATTCATCAAGGAGGAGACAAGCATGGCCTAGGCGTACAAGGAAGTGCTGTCCAAAGCGACAAGGCTCAAGTTGTGTTGACGGGCAGCCGAGGACAGTAGGACCACACGGCCGAGCGCAAACATCCTGCAGACAGACCCTGTAGTGAATGAGCTAAGGACCCAGGTCTCGGAGTTGAGAGAACAAGTCGCTGCACTGCGCACAGATGCCACTCGGACACTACAGCAGGGGAGACGACCAGGACCCGGCAATTGGAAATGCTGGTACTGCGGGTCACATAATCACAAAGGAGGCTGGCGGGACTGCCCATCTAGGAAGCTGGAGTCGCCAGCCTGGAGGCCACGGGCACAGGCCGAGCAGCGTACGAGCTGGAAGGATTTTCGGTAAAGCCCCACAGGTCCAGCCTGCAGGGCGGCGGTAGAAGAGGGCAATATTTGCAGACTGAGCCAAAGACCCAGTGCGCGCAGGGATTGCGACGGAGTCCGTTTATGCGTGCGCAGATGGCAGGTCAAGAGGTGAGCATGCTCCTGGACAGGGGTGCAGACATCAGCTTAATCAGCATGTCACACCTCAGCGAACACCAGAACCAGCACATACAGCCAACATCACAGTCGAACTCAAGAGCTGCGTTCCGCAATGTGGTCAAGATGGAGGGTGTGCTACGG